AMMWTTMMCACAGATTGTCYACATAGCCTAGATGTACTCTGATTGGTTCACTTACAGCAGCATTAGACAGAACTGGCTATGGTAGCATACAACAGTCCTAATCTAATCTGTCTGTGAGGTTAGCAGTCCGTCCACCAACTAATCAAAAGTACAAAAAGACWATGTAGCRGATGTATGATGAGTGGGTATGGTTGTGTATTCAGTTGAGCACCAATTAGAACCTACCCTCCCCTCAATCCAACATACCGAACAACATCATTGAGCAGGCAGCGTCTTCGTGTGTATTTCGGCCCACCCCTGTGCCCAAGTCGTTACCGAGCAAGCCAGCCCAACCACTCTTATTTACCCTCGTACGGCGATGAGCCTTCCTGTCCATGTGATCTGGCTGATCAGGAGGAATTTATAGAGCGCCCCCATCTCTGCAGGAATTATTTAACGTCGCAGTCAGGACGACGATCACAGCCAGATTCACGATGAACTCCCAACCAGAAATATTTATGGACGGTCTGGTAAGCGTCTGTCATGGGCTGGCACACCCGGCAGGACTTCTATTTAGCGCAGCAAGTACCAAAATGGACAGCAGCCATCGCATGCGTGACCTACTCCCATCGGGTTGGCATGGTGACCGTGACCCAGTGCTTCGACCAGGGCCCTTCAGAGGCACCGCCCTTTCTCCTTCCAGATGCTTCCGGGAAGATTGTCGTCTCTCAAGGTAGCGCGATCACGACACCTCACCAAAAAAGAGGACTCTCAAGTTGGACTCGCTTCCTCACGGTAAGAAGAGATTGAGAGAGTAGATAAGGTAAGGGAACAACGTACCTGGAGATAGCTGCCCCCAACCACAAATTTCTCACCAATTGAGCTGAGTGTGCATTTGATGACCGGTCTTGACCTCGGTACCACCCACAACGCAATGCAGTGCCACCTCAGCCTAATGCCACATCAGCATGCTCTCATCACCAATCATACATTCCGCATGTCACCACGGCATACACTGTCGTCTGTAGCCTTCCGGCGCACCCCTCTCTACCCAGGGCGTGCGCCTATGTGGCCTAACGTCACAAGTACCAACTACGAAGAAGCATCGTCAACGCACCAAGTCTGTATAACGCCAGCGTGCCAAAGGTAAGTGGCGATCAAACCAGCTCTGATACTAAATTGCAAGGAACATGAATATGGACGAAGCACAAAAATCCAGAATGCAAAATCACACTGAAGTCCAAGTAGTCAAAGCCAAAGCAGATAGCACAATGGAACCGAGTAACCATCCAATTGAGAATGATACAGAAGAATCGTGAGTCAATGTCCAGATAGCACAATGGAACCGAGTAACCATCCAATTGAGAATGATACAGAAGAATCGTGAGTCAATGTCCATGCCCAACAGGGCAACACCAACAGCATAACCCAATGTAGCTCTCTCTTATGAATGGCGCCAGGCGCCCTAACTACTCTACAGACTAAGCCTACGACTACAGCAATGAAAGCAACCAGACAACTTGACTACCAGTGAGTGATGATGTCAACACCAATGCCGACCTCCACCTCCACCAGGTATGTGTCCTCTTCACCCACACTCTCCCTTGTACCTACACAGCGCCCTTCACCCCTCTGCTCACACAGGCAGCCCGGCTATGGCCGCCAGCGCCCTACCGCCTAGCGCTGTCCTGCTTCCCTCAGCCTTAGCGCAGCGCAGCATGCATGCAACGCAGCAGCGTGCCGGCCTTGCTCGCAATGGCCAAGATCCCTGCCCACTCGCCCTGCTTGCCTATATGCCAGTGTTGCGTGTGGCCGGCCTCCCTTCAGCCTGCGTCTGGGCCCCAGTCGCTGAACCCAGGCCCGATACAGTTGAGGCCCGAGGGATGCAGTTGCACCTCTTTTGTCAAGGCCTGCGACCAGATTCAGATAGTGGGCCGATTTCCCTTTGGCATTTTCGGCCTCTATACCCAGCATGCATTGTCGGCCTCACGTTCAGGTACCCAGGGCCTAACTAACTAAGAGGCCCTGGGTTTTCAGCATTTGCTGAAATCCGAGACTCGGTGCACTCCAACCAACTGGCGTGCTGCAACTGTATGGACCCCACTTCGTGAAATGTTCACACAGAGGGCTCTTGTTGATTTGCTGGCCCGCCTTCACTTAGGGCGGGCACGAGGCTTGCTGGGGCCTTAACCCAGAACATGTACATCATGGCAAGGCCCCTTCTTGAGGGCTCAATCCTCACACTTTCTATAGAATGATTCAATTTTTGGGTCACATGTTCTATCTATACCAAATTAAAGGGGCTCTCCCTAAGGTATCTGAAACATATACGAAAGACATGTTTAGTGATATATTTTGGTTACTTGTAAATAGGCATCCTAATTGGCGTTCCAATGAAAATAGGAACAAACCTGTTCCAACCTATAAGAGCAGGCATTACCATAAAGAGTAGGATAAGAATGAAAGCTAAGATAAGAAGTAAGAGCACTGCATGAATAATGCGAGGTCACTTTGATGACGCTGGATGTCATAAATTTTGACATGCTTTGTTTTTTCTCTTGGGTCACATGTTCTATCTAGACCAAGTTAAAGGGGCTCGCCCAAACATATCTGAAACGTTATAAGAAAGACGTATTCAGTGATATATTTTGGTTTCTTATAAATAGGCATCATAATTGGCGCTCCAATGAAAATAGGAACAAACCAGTTTCCAAACCCACCTATAAGAGTAGGCATTAGCATAAAGAGTAGGATAAGAATGAAGTTAAAAATGATAAGTAAGCACTGCATGAATACTGTGAGGTCAGTTTGATGACGTTGGATGTCACAAAATTTGAAATGCTGTGTTTTTTCTCTCCTACGAAACGTACGTTCAAATTTCATATCAGTTAAAAGGCAACCTACATGACCAATAGAACCATAAGCTAAAAGTTTTTTCACTTTGTTTTAAGCCATTGCGGAAAATGTTCTTAGTATCATGAAAGCAATACTGCAAAGAAAGTTTTTCTCTCCTAGATGTTTGTTTTTGTCCGTTTGTGGGCTGGCAGCTTTTAGGAGCTTTAAGTTCACCCGATTCACCCTTAGGTGAATGTGATCACAAAATGTATATTAAACATGTGTTTTCCTTGGCTTCCAAGTGTCCGTTTTTTACCGTTTCAGTCCCAAGTGCATCTAGATTTTATGTAGTCCAGTTCAAAACCTGCTTTGTAAAGAGGCAAATTGACCATAATGTGACGGCTTGCCCCTTTTTCCCGCCCATACTCTCATGCCTCTCCCATTCTCCTTCGAGGCCTTTTCTTTTCACCTTTGCTGGCCATTTTATTTCGGATCAGATTAGACCTCATTTTTAGGTTCGGTGTACCCGGGCGCCCTAAAACTAAGGCCCGTGTGATCCTTTGCATCCCTCTTGTGTCCCTTCTCAATTTCGAGGCTTCTGGCGAGTAGGCTGATATATCTCCAGGAGGGGCAAAGTGCTCCTCGTTATCGGTGTGGAAGTTTGGCGACACACTGAATGGAGCGCTGGCTGGAGCAGCGTTAGCAAGGAGCAGTGCTGCTGAGGAGGAACAAGGACATGAGGAGGAAGAAGACCGGGACTAGGAGGGAGGAGTGCCAGAGGTACTCACCTCGCTATGGTGGTTGCCATATTCATCACCTTGGTGGGTGCTGCAGCAAGAAGGCCCCAGTGGGGGTAGAGCTACACCAAGAAGCTTCGAGGCAGAGTCAGGCATGGCAGCCTGAGCTAGAGCAGCCATAGCTGCTTGAGTTGTCTTCTACACATCAGGGCAAGGCCATAACAGTTTGCCATAGCCAAGGCCTTCGAGAAGAGGAAGGAGAAGAGTGTCATAGTTAGGGAGGACCTCATATGATACCTGCAGTAGAAGAGAGATTCAGACATTGATTCTGGTTCAGCCATTCAACATTGCTATTATTATTTCTTGATTGAATAAGAGGGGAGGAGATAAGGAGGAGGAGAGTTGTTGCCGAAGAAGAGCAATATGATTGGTCTATGCTGGTGTGCATCATCTTCTTCCTTATTTCGTCTTCTTCTTCATTGTTCCCTCTCTCCTCTCAAGTTCATTCATTTCATTTGGCAATCGCCGCCACCTTCGTCGTCTTCTCCTCAGCCGCCGCCTTCCCCGCATCCGCCTTCGCCGTCGCCGCATTCGCCCGTCTTCGTCGTCGCTGCCTTCTTCTTCGCCTTCTTTTGTCTTCTTCGTCTTCGCCGCCTTCGCCGCCTTCGCCTACGTCGTCGCCGTCACCGTAGCCTTCTTCGCCGTCGCCGTCGCCTTCCCGTTCGCCTTCTTCTTCGCCTTCTCCGCCTTCGCCTTTGCCTTTGCCTTCTCCGCCTTCACCTTTGCCTTGGCCGCCTTCGCCTTCTTCTTCTTCACCTTCGCCTTCTTCGTCGCCTTCGCAGGCTTCGCCTTCTTCGCCACCTTCGCCTTCTCCTCCTCCTTCGCCTCCTTCGGCTTCGCCTTCACCTTCGCCTTCGCCTTCTTCGCCGCCTTCGCCGCCTTCGTCTTCTTCGCCTTCTTTTCCTCCTCCTTCACCTTCTTCGCCTCTGTGGGGCTGAGGCAGAGAAGCGAGGTTGGGGAAGAGAGAGGGAGGGAGTGAGAGCACACACACACACACACACTCAACTCGACACGGACTCGAAGCAACTCGATGGACACGGACACAAAGTGGCGAAGTGGCAAAGTTGCAAAGTCGCAATCTTGGTTTCGTACACAATGTCGTAGCAAGTCACATTGTAGCACAAGAACCGTGGCCGAAAACTGAGTCCCCAAACTCAGCTTGAGTCCGGTCTTAAGTACCGGACTCAAGTTGAGTCTGAGGTCAAAAGTGCAGTTGCCTCGGTGCCGAACTGAAAATCGAAGTTCTGAGCCTAGGCGCCAAAATGCCGGATGGCGCCAAGTACGAAATCCAAAAGTGGCAGAGGCGGGATTTGAGAATGGGCGCCAACTGCAGAGGGCGCCAACAGTCAGGAACTGGAGACCAGGGACTCCAAAAAAAAATAGAATACCAGCCTGGCGGGTGGTAACCCATGGACCAGGGATCGAGCCCTGGCTGAGTCCAAAACACTATCCCCTCCCTCTAGAAGGCAGCGTCCCAGCTGCCAAAGACCCAATGAACAACTGTGAAGGACAGGATGGGGCCGATCACTGGTGAGAAAAGGAAAGGGGGGGTAATGCAAGTAGCAGGGTAATCCTATGGGGGTTCTACAGGGATGAGGGAATCAGTGTTCAAGTAACAGGGTAATCCTATTGAGCTGCAACATGTCGTTGTCCTCGTACCGAACTGGTTGGCCACCATGCTGTTCCCTTTGGACGGCACCTTGGACTTGCAGACTTCTGGAGCAGCACCTCTGACATGGACATCAAGATCAGTCTGCGACCTGCTATCCGGATCAGACCTCATCATTAGACCGTGTACCGGATGCAACCTGCTACTGCGACAATCATGTTGTTCCCTTTGGCCGACACCTTGGACTCGCAGACTTCTGGAGCAGCAACATGCCATCATCCTCGTACTAAGCCGCAACATGCCGTCATCCTCGTGCGCTTGCCATTAGATCCATTATCGTCGGCGACGCACAGGGGCCACAAAGAGAATTTGGACAAGAGAGACAAGGATGTGGTGGAGGGCAGATGGGAGAACGGGGAAAGGCGGAGGCAAGAGCGGATCAAACAGGGGGGGGTTCAAGAGGCAAGGGCTTCACTGGGTACAGGGGTGTGTGTAGAGTAGGAATGCAGGGTTTTGGCGGGGTCAAGGCAGGGTTTATGCAAGGGTTTAGGGTTTAAGTTATATTATGTATCTAGGATATAGGGTGAGCACGATCATAGGCGCGAACAAGTTTCATAGCATTCTTAAGGTTAGGAAGAGGTTCTCAWGTGGATTCTTCGTCAGGGTATCCAGTCCATTTAACTTTGTATTCTGTGATTGGTTCCGGATGGTTTGATACTTGAGTAGTTCTTCGTCCTATGATGGCTTCAACGACGAATTCAAGGCTTGTGGGTAACATGATTGGTGGTGATCTAGGATATGGGCGGTCAGCGGATTGGGGTGGGGATTCATCGTATTCTTTTAGGTATTCTACGTGGAAGACAGGGTGGACACTACTCATGCCAGAAGGGAGTTGGAGCTTGTAATTGATGTGGGAGGTTTGTTCAATGATGGGGAAGGGTCCGAGCCACTTGTTCAAGAGTTTTTTGGACAAGCCGTGTTCGGGTTCAAAGCATTTGGCGAAGAGCCAGACTTTGTTCCCTACTTTGAATGTTACGTTTTGTGTTTGTTGATCTTGTTGGCTTATTGTTCTTGTGTTCGTTCAAGGGCTTCAGTAACTTCTTAAAGGAGTTTGTTCATAGTTGTTACTCATTCATTAAGAGAAGGGCAGGGGGTGGAGGGGTTGAGTTGCGAGGGGAGCAGGAAGTCGGAGGGCAAGCGCGAATGATAGTCAAGGTCGAGGTAGAATGGAGTCATGCCTGTAGAAGGACAAACAACATTGTTGTAGGCGATCTCGACGGCGGTGAGCAACTGATCACAATTGTGTTGATGTGGATGACAGTACTTCCTCAGGATTCTTTGGAGAGTATCGTTCATCTTCTGGTTTGTCCATCGGTCTGTGGGTGGAACCTGGTTCCGTAGGCTTTAAGGAGGTGTTTCCAGAATTGTGAAAGGAAGCGAAGATCACGGTCGCTGATGATGTTCTCGGGGAGATCGTGATGGCGTGCGACATGGTCGAAGAAGAGAACGGCGACGTCCTTGGCGCTGTGCGATGTGGTGCAAGGGATGAAGTGGGCGCGTTTAGTCAGGCGGCAAATAATGACATAGATGCAATCATATCCGCGGTCGATCTTGGGGAGACCACAAACGAAGTCCATGGAAATGGACTGCCACTGGTGGGTGGGGATCGACAATGATTGTAGCTTGCTGGGCTTGGCGCGGTTGGAGGGGTTGACGGCTTGACATGTGGGGCATGAGCGAATGTAGGCTTTGACGTCGGCGAGTAGGGAAGGCCAGTAGAAGTAACGAGAGATGTTGTCGAAGGTTTTCTGGAACCCGAGGTGTCCTACAGTCTTGGCGTCGTGATGCTCAGCCAAGAGCTGCGTACGGAGGCCACGTGCGTCGGGGATGCAAAGTCGGCAAGTGCCTTTGGTGTCAATGTAAAGAAGTTGGTCGTGAAGGGAGTAGTCGGGGACTGAGTCAAGGTCACGAAGTTTGTTGTAGATTGTTGAGAAATCTGGGCAAGAGAGGTAGCCTTGGGTATAGCGGTGGTGGAGTGATGGGAAGAGTTGGATATGAGTCATGGCGGCGTACACTTTCTCAAGGGGCTTGTGGTTGGGGCGTCGAGAGAGGGCATCGGCAACGCGGTTGCTCATGTCAGGGGTGTGGCAAATGGTGAATGTGAATTGGGCAAGAAAGTCTAACCAGCGGGCTTGGCACGGCATGATGTCTTCCTTGGTGAGGATAGAGGAGACGATGGTGTTGTCCGTGCGGATGGGGAAGTATTGCCCGTCGAGGTTCGACCGCCAGACTTTGAGGGTGTGGATAACGACGAGGAGTTCCTTCTCGTTGGAGGGGTAGTTCATCTCCGCGGGAAGGAGCTTCTTGCTAGCGAAGGCGATGGGGTACTCGTCAGGTGGAGCCTCGGGTGGGTTGGGGAGTCTTTGATGGACGGGGTTTCAGAGGTGTCACGAGGGAAGTGTTGGGATAAGACGGCTCCAAGGGCGAATTCGGATGCGTCAGTGGTAATGTAGAAATGTCAAGAGGGGTCGGTGATCTCGAGGACGGGGGCTGTGGTGATGGTTTGTTTGAGGAAGTCGTAGGCGTTTTGGCGGCGGTGGTTCCAAGTGAAGGGTTCGTCCTTGCGGGTGAGTTTGTGGAGAGTCTTCTCTATGCTAGAGAAGATTTCGATGTCGGAGAAGTTGCGGATAAAGAAGCGGTAGTAGTTGGCAAGGCCGAGAAATGAGCGAAGTTGGAGTAGGGTCTTGGGTGGTGGATACTCGATGAGGGCGGTGACCCTCGAGGGGTCCATGAGTATTCCTTCAGCGGAGACGATGTGGCCAAGGTATTCAACGCTTGAAGCGGCAAAGTTGCATTTGTTGAGCTTGGCGTAGAATTTTTGCTCTCTGAGGATAGAGAGGACTTGGCGGAGATGCTGAAGGTGGGACTCGAAGGTGGGGCTATAGACACGGATATCATCGAGGTAAACGACAACACAGACTTCGAGGAGGTCGTGGAAGATGTGGTTCATGGTGGATTGGAATGTGGCGGGGGTGTTGGTGAGTCCGAAGGGCATCACAAGGAACTCGTAGTGCCCAAATCGAGAACGGAATGCGGTCTTGTGGGTGTCCTCCTCGCGGATGCGGATCTGGTGGAAGCCACTGCGGAGGTCAATTTTGGTAAAATATTTGGCTCCACGGAGGCGATCAAGAAGCTCGGAGATCCAAGGTAGGGGTTACTTGTTCTTGATCGTGATCCGATTCAAGGCACGATAGTTTGTGCACATCCGAAGTTTTTCTTGACGAAAAGGCAGCTTGTACCGAAGGGGGATGAACTTGGCTTAATGAATCCTTTTTCAAGGAGTTCATTGAGTTGCTGCTTCATTTCTTCGGCTTCCGAAACGGAGAGTTGGTACGGAGGGCGGCAAGGTGGAGAGTGACCGGGCTCCAAATCAATGGTGTGGGACACACCATGATCCAGAGGTAATCTGGCGGTAATTCGGGTTCTTTTTAGCTAATGCCTGTTTAGCTCAATCCGCAAGAAAAAGGAAGTGGTTCCGTCCCGTCCAAGTTTGGCCATCGAACTTCAGTGTTCGAACTAATTCCATTTTTCCTCTCGTCGAAGAGTTGTCCATAGTGACACGTCGAACGGCTAACAATCTAGCGTGTAAACTTTATGCCAGTCTTGTCTGAAGTGCACGCATCTTACCATAATTCTTTGAAAGCGTGGCCTTGTAAATCCTGGTCTGGAATCTGAAGACAAAACTCTCGAGTCCTTGAACTCGTCGAGGATGGAGGTGAGGGCGGGGTCGGAGGGGGGGGGGCTTGGTCGGGTTTGTCCGTTGGGAGCAAGTCCTCCGGACGCTTGCGATCAAGGGCAAGGCAATAGTAGGTGGAGTCGGGGTACGTACGAGCCATGTGAAGGAAATGGTGCGCGGTGACGGAGCTTGGGGAGGGGGGATAGGGGAGATAGGGAATGTTGATGGTTGTGTCAGCGGGTTTGGTAAGGCGGATGAAGTTGGGGTGGAACGAGTATGGCATGTAGCGGTCCAACCATGGTGTCCCCTAAACGAATCGTGATCGGGGAGTTGTAACCGGTAGAGGTAAGACTGGCTTTCCGGACACACGCGTCGGTGATGAAGTTACCAGTGGCCTCAATGTCGAGGAGGGCCCGGAACTTAGTCGTAGACGCACCAAGGGTGGCAGCGATGAATTTGAGGTGGAAACGAGATGAGTTGGCGGTGCAGATAATGGTGTTGAGGCGACGTTGTTCATTGTCTAATCCAACAAGCCATTGCGGAACGTGTGGCGGTGAGGGGGGCGTCAGG